AAATGCTTTAGATGAACGGCTTTGTGGCTCTATTACACCTTGATGTTCACTGGACTGACTGAAGACTCCTCAGATGGTGTGGCAGTAGAGACTGCTGGGTAAAAGACTGAACACAGTGGTCAGAGTGCATTGTTGTTGTGGGGTGGGGGGGACCACTGTCCCCTTTAAAGTGTGCTTCTCTATTGGTCATTCCTTGAATCGATGGTGCCATACTTTCCTTTTCTTCTTTGAAGTAGCCTTTTTGTTTCAGCAGCAAGTTTGTAATTGGCCACTTTCCTGTATGTTCGAAGAGACAGTTAGCTTCTATATAACATCGAGGCGATGACATGTTCAACTCATGAGGCTAATGACTTGAAAAATGGACAATTGGATTTCACTGAATGACCTAACCTGTGCAGTTATCATCGTCTTGTTGGATCTGTAGGTGGTGCTCCCTAATGTAACATAAATCGTAATCAGATCTGAAGTGGTGGTTAGAACCTGTCACTTTAAAAAGTCATTGTTGTAAAAAAATGCACTGTAAAAATTAAAATCCCACGGGTTAAAATAAAATGACATCATGTGTTCTTCTTTTTTTCTTTTCTTAGGCCTTTATTCCTAGAACCGATGGATGTCCAGACTGATGCCAGATTGCTGGCAGCAATGGAATTCTCTAAAATACATTCAAAACAGTTTATTTTCACAGAAACAAGGCAACACTAAGAAGAGATAATTGGTTCTTCATTGTTACTCTGTATAACACATGCAATTTTCTTCTGGCAGTTTCATCCACCAGTAAATGTTCCTGCTACAACAGAAGCCATGGCAGGGTATTCCAAGGGATAACACCTCTGCTTGTGGTACAGAAGACCAGGAATCATATCCTGCCCTCAGACAACGTTTAACGTAGACCTTTGTATGAGTTTTGTATAAAATGACTGTTTAGACCGTGCAACCGTGAGCCAGGGTTCAATCCCCAGACCAATCATGAGTAAAAGATGCAAGGGCATTGAACTAATATCAAAATGACAAAAGGGGTTGGTTAGAGTAACTGGTCAACCAATACCAGAGTGTAGTAATTACCAGTGTGACGGATGGTCCATTGGTGCAAAAGTAACCTCCAAGTGCCTTAGGTGTATACATAGATTTGCATTACTGGAGAACACAACTCTTACTCATCAAGACACATTTGACAAAATGATAAAGTCCTCCTCCTGTCTTTATTTTCCTTTTCTTAATAATGCCATCTGCCCTGACCAGGGTTTGATCTGTGGTCCTCCACCCCTGTCATGAAGTGAACCCCAGTCTTCCCCACAGTGATCAGAGGTGTTTCCCCCTGGGCTATTCCGCCATTGACAATGGACTACCAGTAACCTTTACTGGTGGATAAAACCAGTCTGTGCTCTTCTGAAGACATGTTGCTAAGTCTAACAATGTTCTTCATTTGTAGGGATTTGAATCCTGCTCTCCTGCGTGGTGATCAAGGGGGGTTATCCCCTGGGCTATTCTGCCATGGACTTTGAAGTGCGAGAAACTTTTACTGGTGGGTGAATCTGTTTCATGATCTTAAAAAAATTACTTGTTTTTAACAAATTATTTAACAGAAACATTTTTTACAAACTAACAGAGGGATCATATTTAATAACAAATTTTACAATGTGCTTCTACGTATTTGACAGAACGTTCCTAAAACCTAAAGTCTCTGTATACACAGACTGCCTGCTGTGCTAGTTCACGTCTGCCGTGTTTGTCCACAAGATGGCGGTCTACACCATGGAAAACAGGTTTTCAACTTTATATCCAATCGATTAGAAAACTCCTGTCGATGTATGTCTTTTGTTTCTTTCAATTATAAAAAAAAATATTAAGTGCAATGAAGTAAATAAACAATACGTTTAAATGTAAAAGGCGCAATGTTTTAGATGACATTTCTAATAACACGTTTTCATATAACAATAGGCTGCGGCTTTATGTTCAAAACATTTAAATTAAAAACTATACCCGAGTACTAAATGTAGAAACGTCCGATAATAGGGGTAAGCCTATTAAAATGTTGTTGTTTTTTTTAGTATTAAACACTGCCAATGCCCCTCAGTGTCCTCAATCTGCATCATCAATAATTTACACTGCAGGTATTTTAGGTTCCACTCACTGAATGAAAATAAAGTTGGCGTCTTAAACATTTGTGCTCTAAAAAAGACAGGAAGTACAAAATATTTTTTAGACCTCAAACCCTAAGTCCTGTAAGATATCTTTATGCAGAATTCTTTAAAATTCTCAACTTTATCGACGCAAAATATGTTTATTCAGTCACTTGTTTGTTTTTTCTGTCTTGCATTATTTAAGCAAGTGTTATGTGTTCTTGTTTAAATATTAAAGTAATACAAAGTAAAAGTCGTCTTATGCGATTTGGCGCATTCATAAAATATGTCTGACACTTCGGTTTCTCCAGTATGAGTTTGAAAACAAGTCCTCACTGTAAATGATTAACACAAAGAAACACAGTAACAATAATAACAGTTGACAGAACTTTGGTTCATCCTTTCTTGAACTGAGTGTTTTGATGCTATGGAATTAGCATAATAAATGTTAAAGACTAAAGGAAATGACGTCACGTGTAAGGGAACAAAATGTGTATTTAATCAAAATTGTTAATTTTTTTGTAGTAGACACATCGAATTATTATATTCCACACATAATTAATTACATTTATCCTTACAGGGAAGTCCACACGTTTGGCTGAATGACAGACTGCGGTAGTTTGAAGTCATTTCCAAAAGGTTCCAAGGCAAGTTTCCCAAGAATTTCAAGAGTTTATTTGTCACCATTACAGTGAAATGTTATCACTGAGTCACAACATGAACCGTGATGAAATATAAATACAGCAGAAAAAGTCCAGCAGAGATAAGTGTTACTAGAAAAAGAAAACACATCAGCAAGTGCAAAAGTAGCGAGAACAGTAACAGACTGTGAAAATAACAATGTCACAAAATGTCCAGTGATTAACACATTAACACTGCGTTCATACTAGAGATTATACCTCCAGTTTGTATGAGTTCATCTGTAATCTTCAGTGAACTTCATCCTGCTGTATATATCTGTGTCTATATATATATATATATGTATATATATATATACATACATACACTACAGTACTGTGACACTCATTGCAGAATGCTGCCTCGGCTTGTGTAGATATTCTTGTTAGGATTGTTGTTAATTATCCACTCACCTGCAAATTAGTTAATCTAAAATCTTATTATATTATCAAAGATGAAGTGATTCAGAAAATGGGGGATTTGGATTAGGATTCTTGTCTCTCTTTAATCATGTCACCATCATCTGATTGGCCGTCTCATCTTCTCACCTTTTACGACTCTGTCACTTCTCCATTCATCAGCAGACGTTTGCCTATCAACACCACCAACACAGGTTGTTTAAAAGTCTCCTCCTAAAAAGCAGGAGTCCATTGATGGCCCCCACCCGCACCCCACAGTCCCTCTGTTGGAGCTTCATTGGAGGCGATGCCCAGAGTGGGAGGGGCCACTGTGTTTTCTTTTTTTTTTCTCCTCTGTGGTATGCTGATGGATAGGTATAAGACCCCTGGTAGGAATGCGATTGGGTTGTGAAAAAACATCCAAGTGATTGTGTTGCCTTCAGCCGGTGCAGACACAGAAGCTCCAACATGCAGCAGCTGACCGTGTGTGTCCTCCTGGCATCATGTGCCTGGACAGTGTGTGCAGCAGCAGGGGGTGAGTGTTTGGAAATATTTTTATTATTATTAAAAACATTTGGTTTTCTGTTTATTTATGTAATACTGTTTTGTATGATTGTTGAAAATGAATTGATTTATTATCACTACATTGTAGTTCTGTTGTGAAATATTGATTTATAAAAAAAATCAGGGCTCATGGTTTATGATGGCAGCTTCATCAAGACTGATTTTTACAATGTCTTTTCTCAATGAGACTTTAGTCTGTTGGAAAGTTGATATGAAAAATTAATGTGACTAAAAATATCAGAAAGAAACAACGACACAGTGGGTGAGAAAAAGAGGGAGAGACGAAGCGACCCTCTCTCATCATGTGAAATAAAAAAAATAAGCCCCCCAAAAATCTTGCATGGTTGGTGCACCTGCTCTGTGCTTCATCATCATCATCATCATGTCACCGAGATTTTTCTTCATCCAACGCATTTTTGCTCATTCACGACGCGCAAAAGACAGGAATGATGCAGAAAATCAAATACATCCAAGCATTAACTCTCTCTCCCCCTCGCTCCCCGTCATCATCTCAAATACCTCTCTCACCCCTTCTCTTTCGCAGTCTTTTATTCACTCTTACTTTCTTTTCATCTCTCTCTCACTCTCACTCCATCCTTCCACCCGACACCCTCTTTC